CATTAAACGCACCCCACGAGGTGCAACACCTCGAACACAGGTGACGGTCTAACGGTTCGGCGCGACATGGAATTTTCTTTCCGACATTTCACATAATACACATTACAGCTCTCTGCTCACAAATTTCCCCTCATCTCAGGAAAGTTACACACTTTTGCGCGCGTGAATACATCTCGCGCAACACACAAAGTTCCGCATTTTCCGCAAAGCAGTTTATTTTTCATTATTTTTTTTTCCACCTACAAGATAAATAATCGCCGTTCTTATTTCCGTATACGGTTAAAACTCCACGCGACCGAGTTTCGCTTATCTATTATATCGTATCGCGATAAATGACAATCGCAATTTTGACTCGCGTAAAGTTTACATCTTGTATATTTATACGTCACGCACTTCTCGGTCAGAATCGGATAGAAACTCGTATACATTAAGGGATTTGTTGAAGATCGTGCGGAAAACGGGGGGGAGGGGGAGGGGGAGGTTATAACCACTGGCAACCGTTACTAACCGAAACGCCACTCCCAAACATCTGTTCTAACTTGGGGGTATTGTGAGATGCAGACGCGAAACGAAAAAAAGAACTTGCCGTTGACTCGTGCGATTCTTATCTGACTTTCGATCAAAATATATCGCAAACAACGTAGACACATCGAAAATGTAAATATTATTCGTCTTTTTTATATTCTTGATTTTTTAAAAAGGCAATGAAAAAATTTTATACGCGATTCCCCGGCGTGTTTGAAAATTGTGCGCGTAATTTAGAATTTTTTTTATGACACCAATCACGCGCGAAACTCGTTAAATATTTTTGTATCTTCACGATCATCACGTCCGGCATTCTTGTCCCGTCATTGCTGCTCGAGTCGATATCACTCTCTCGAAAACATTTTTTGACCTTTATTGGAACTTCACGTCGATATCACTGTCAGTGTCGCGTGTAAACAGTGTATGGGGAAAACTGGTTAGACCGCGTCGATGAATATAAAATAATAATTTATTATTACTGCCGCGCACGTTATAATTTAATACTCGCTTTTCAACATATCGGAGAGCGTGAGCGGGATACATACGCACGTTTTTTTTTTTTTTTCATTTTTTTTAAAACGTTCCAGTTTTCTACTCGTTTCTTCTCATCGAGAAAGATTCTCTCGCGTTTATAAAACGAGTCTTCGGTCTTGTTGTTGACTTTCTGAAAACATCGGTTTTTGTCGCAAGTCGTCGGATTTTTATTACCTAACCCGCGTGAATAAATAATTTTTCAACGCGCGTGTAGAATCGGTCGGATTAGAATTCGATCGCGGGAGCGTCGAGTGTGTGTGTGTGCGAATCAATTTCACTTCCCGCTACAGCGGAAACGCGCCTCCGTCGTGAACGGAATAACTGATTGCGGATTGGAAATCCAGAAGTCCGAAGTGCTTGCTTTATAAGACATTCTATTGATGGTTTTGCGCCTCGAGCTTATTTTTTTCTCCATGAGGTGTGGCGGCGGCCATTGCATCCTACACGCTCGGTGCACAGGCGATGCGGAACGTTTTGCTCGCGTATAGAATTCAAATCTCCCGGACGACGGACACGATCGCAATGTCAATTCGCTTCGTGTATGTGTTTGTTGTTTTTTTTTTGTTTTTATTTTTAACTCTTTTACGATCGTGTGTGATCTCAGACACCGGAAGACTGTTCGCGCGCGAAAAACTGTTCGATCGCGAAAAGTCTCAGAGAAAACGTTGCGCGTTAATACTAATGAGATAAAAAACTCCAACGTAATGAGTCTTACCATTAATAGACACAGTCGGGAGCTGTGTCGTCATTCGAGCAACATTCCACGTAATGACGCCACGTTCGATCGCCGATGTAGGATACGATATATGAGCGATATAGGAATTGGATCGAATTCGTATTATAATTCAAATCGATTAATTGATCTCGCGTAATTGGTCGATCGCTTCGCGAAGCTGACGTTTCGTCAAAATTCGGTCAAACTCCGGTTGATTCGGCTTTCCGTTTCGACACGTTTGATTGCGATTATCGATTATCGATGGGGAGATAAGTTTAAACGCTGTGTGTTGCGTATACAAAGAAAAAAATTCACAGAGCAATCAATTACGGACGCTTCTGATTGGTCCTGCGACGTTGTAATCGCGACGGAGACAAAACGCGTGCGTTTGTGCGCGTGGTAATCCGGTTTGGTAACGTTCTCTCGCGGAATTGACCAATCGCATTGGTCAATAATGCGAGTATCTCGCAAAACGCGCTGGTGTGGTGCATCGCGCGTTCTCTCGCGGTAAAAAAAAAAGTCACAGTGTCCAATGCATGCGAGAAACAGAGAGAGAGAGAGAGAGCAATGACCCGCGATGGAATCGAAGATGGAACGATTACGCTTATAGAACGATCAATTTGCCGTTTGAATGAACTTCCGCTCGTTCTCTATCGCCGCTTGACGCTTGTTAGAATCGAATATTGCCATAATTGCGCCGTATTGCGTCTGTACGTCCTGTCTAATTATCACACTTATCGCGCGGCGTTATCTCGGCATTGTGAGGAGCGTAACGAGAAAATCTGAGAAAAGCTACGTGGCAATTGCTACGATGATGACGCGGCACTTCTTGTGTACACACATCGATTTTTTGCTTTACCGGATACAAATTAACGTTTTGTCGATCTTTTGCAGTCGTATATTCTCGGCCAATCAGAAAAAAACATTCGCGCGCGCACGAAGATAACGGACGCAATAAAAGTGTCATTATAATTGCGAGATAATTTGAGATTCGCGTCGATAACGGAACGTCTTTTGAAATTCAATTTATAGAAGGCATTAAAAAAAACGGTCGTGAAAATCGAACGGAAAACGAGTGTTTTTTTTTTTTTAAGTTTTTTACTTTTATAGCGACACGGTAAGTCTCTGCTCGCACATACATATAGACGAGGAAGAAGAGGACTTTGACTCCGCCTCGGTGAACAATCGCGCATTAATTTTCGACCGTTCATTCATTATACTTTGGAAGAGGAGATAAGATATGTTATTTTTAATAGGAAGTAACTGGCGGATTGTGAGAGAAAGACAACAGAGCGTCCCTTTCGGAACTCGAGTCTTCTTCGGATCGTTTCGTGTGTCGCTGCGAGTTAATAATGCGAGCTAATTGATGAGGATTCTGCTGGCGAGCGCTCATCTCGAGAATCATCGCGAGAAACACAACCGACCCGAAAACAGAACGTAGGTAGTTGTTATCTCGCAATGAAATTGGCTCGTTTCTAATGTCATGTTTTTCTCGCGCGTTTCTCACACAATCCGTACTGTAATGTATAATAAAACGAAATAAATGTAATTACGCAATTTCTGTTGTGTTGCGTGCGCGCGCAAGTTTTGACTCACGAGAGACGAAACGTTTCAAATTGAAACCGTATGAAACTTTTAATCGCGGCCTGAGATGAACACACGTTGCGTCTTCCACTTCCGCTATTTATGACAGTCTCACATAATTAAACATTGTAATAAGTGCATATCTATAATAATGGAAAATATTTTGCGTGGAAACCCTGTAAACGTATTTTTTTTTAAGAGAAGATTGTTTTAAGAGATTGATTGGAGCGAGAAGGTGTCGATTTGTCACTTGAAGAAAGAAAACGCGTTGCGATACAAGGCGAAGATTTTTAAGGACGGTCAACAATTTGAGTGCGGCGCGCGGAAGCAACCTTCGGTGGTTCGCAGCCTTGAGATTGCGCGGAAAACACCTGACTTTATGCAATTTGCAATTATAATTCGCACCGTTTCTCTTGTCTCTCGCACCATCTCTGTAACGGTAATAAAAAAACTAATGACCGTATTCAAATACATCTTCTCAAGAAGACAACGAATCGCTACGCGCGCAGCCTGCGCGCATACACGCATACCCGGAGCAACGAACATGTAACCGAAACAATACCGTTGTTTATAGTGACTGTAATAATCCACCGTAAGTATTAATAAGAGAACCAAGCGCAACGTAACGAATTTTTCCCCTTACTTTTCCCGTCTTTCCCATAGAGATAACCAATATAAAAGAATTCGAGAGATTCTTGATTGCTCGAGAGAAATGATGTATCAATTATCAAATTGAACAGGAAATATCAAATACAATACAATAAATGCAATAAAGAAGTTGATTACTTTCACATGTGACTTTGTTTCACGTGTAAAAGCGAATGTTCAATGTGAAGGTAAATGACCGAACGTGTACCATCGATCAGACAGGTATTTAAAAAAAAAAATTATATTAACTAAGTTACATAACTGAACGTGAGTACCGGGATATATGAGAGATGCTGAACAGAGAAATATCGTATAGAGCGAAAGCCACGTATATACGTTCGTGAGTGTTCCTGGGAAGCATCAGACTACCCTTAACTAAATTATATATATATATATATATATGTATATCGTCCTCTTCGTATAATTACACAAGTGACATGTACAGAATTTTCATTTTATTGCATAGTGACACTTAGAAAGTCATGTTCTTTATGGTCAAATATAAAAAAAAAAAAAAAATATCCACAAACAAGATAAAAATTTGAAACCGAAAGAATTCCTTAACTAGGGAAACATATGAAGTTTTAAATCTTTAAAGTGCTCTCTCCTCTAAAATTTGTATTTTTTGAAGTTACGGGATTATACGTATGGATATGACGATATAGAACATATGAAATAGAAAAATTAATATTTAAAAACATATCTAAAAAAAAAAAAAATAAAAACATTGACAATTGTTATACTTAATACTTATACATCTAAAAATTATTTCTATCGAGCCATTGAAATCTTATCCAATGGAAATAAAAGCAAAACCAGCTCCTGGAAGTTAAAAGTTGAACACGCATCATTGTTCACGTTCAAATGATTAACAATTGACGCGTGTTTTTTTTTTTTTTTGTCACAAGACGAGGGAACACAAGAACGAGAGACACTTCCCTCTCCGTTAGTATTAGTGAAATTTAGTTTTCATCAGATATATACAGTGACTCACTTGTTGTTGCGCGGTAATGTCGTAATAGCCATGTTCAAGGACCCTTCGTAGTGATTATTATCCTTCTTAAGCCGTCTCGGCAATGCCACGCAAGCACCCTGCGTGAAGCTGTACGTCCTTCGTTTCTTCAGGCACAACATCGCTCTCGATCCGTCCGACACCTGATTTTTATTTAATTTCTTTTTTCTTTTCGCGAGTTCATTTCACGATTTTCCCGGCCGCGTTTTAATAAATAAATTATTATTGTCCTCCTCCATGTTTGCGTAGCTACTGCGACACTGCTTGCGCGACCACCTTCGGAGAGAGAGTGTAATACTTCGTGTGTGTTAGAAAATATCCAATACTCGGCTCCGGAGAAACACAAAGTACACAAAACAAATTGTCAAGGTCGTCATGTACTAGTCAACACAGATTTGTATCTGATACACTTGGCACGCAAATACCGATCTCGCGCCCGAGATTTAACACATTATCAAATCGCGATTCCGGGGTAACGTACATTTACACCAATAATATTTATCAGAATCGTTATTTTTATAAAGTCGTTGTAGGAATAAAAAAAAAACTCAACAACCTGGTGTGTGTTGTCTCATAGCCAGAACGAAACGTCGATTGATAACGAGTCGCTTGAAATTTGGTCGCCTCGGAAAGTTCGATTACAGCTCGATAAAAATTCGGATGGATATTATTATTATTATTATTATTATAACGCGTGCGTCGATTATTCCAAGAAATACCCGCGTATATAAACTCTCTCGCGAGAGAGAAGCAGAAGGAAACGTCAACCTCGCACCGAAGTTATAACTGTACTGAACTGCGCTCACAGAATCTTTCCTCGGGCGCAAGTGCGCTCTCGGTGATAATGACCCCCACGAAAATTACGGGGCACCGTCCCCGTCATTCGTGGTCCCGCATACGTTTTTTTTATCAGATGATACTTGTTTTTTTTTTTTTTCCTCGTGCCGAACTTCGCGTCGTCTCGCGCGAAGAAAAAAACTAGAACGTTACATACCGGTAATGACATTCTTAATTTCGCATTTTTTAACGTAGCGTTTGAGACTTTGCGATAATTTTGCGTCATTATTTTAAACACAAGCTTACAAGGTATGTACATATTTTTGTTTTTACGCGCACGTTCGACATAAATTGAATATAAATATACACGTGAACGTATAATAAATAAACAACACAGAAGGGCGAAAACGAACGCAACGAATCAAAATGTAGAAGGGCAAGAGAGTACAATCAATTGTATTTTTCCCACACGTGTCAATTATTATAAGAGATTGTTGGAACAAGCGATATTCGTTTTTAACACGCAAGACGGCGAGACACGCAAGCAAATCTGTCTGAAGAAGTCTCATCTCTATCACCTGTTCTTTACCGCAATTTACACACATGTGTATATATAAAAGAACGTCCGTTCTAGTATAAATGCGAGTTCCGTTTACATATACATATTTTAGACCAACACGAGAAACCGGTTGGTCAAACCGGAAACTCTTGACGTTTTACGTTACAAGAGCACACGTGCTCCTAAGTTTGATGTAGTGTCGTTATGGTCCTGTTAAGTTCAAGTTGTTACACCTCGTCATGTGAGAAAGCTGCGAATTACATGTAATTGATGTGTCACAAAGTTGTTTTTGAATTGTTTTGTAAATTCTCTACTTGGAGAAGTTTTTTCTGCGACTAGTCTTCTCGCAATGATATATACGGTGTACACGTTATTTGTTATTTGCTGTGTAATAATTTTTAATAATTTTTATTTTGATAACGATAAAAAAAAAATTGTTTCTTTTACGACGATGTGGCAAGAAATATAATATCTACGTTTGAGAGAAAAGCATGTTCGACGATTAAAATATTACTTCGATTTAAAGAGCGGGAAGAGCGCTCCTCAGAACGAACAAGTTGGAAAGAGTGGAAAAAAAAAAAAAAACAAAATATAACACGCTCCACACGCATTGGAGATATATAATACCGTGAGGCTGTACAACGAGCGGCGTGGCGCAGCAGAAGCAAGTGCAGTTATGTTGCACTGACCGCTAGGATGCTCCAGCCGGCCGAACCGGCGGCGTGTCGAGTTCGACTTGTTGCTATGCAACGTGACGTTTACTGAAAAATAAAAAGAAAGAAATGCATCCGACAAGAATCGCGCAAAAAAAAGTGAACGAAATATAAGATAACGCAAAGACGTAATACTTCCGTCGTGCGTGTGTAAATATTAACGTCGTCTTACGTATGCGCGGCGTTTTTTTTTCGCATAATTCCCGTTTCTGTTGATTGAATGCGACCGCTGGCATTAACAGGAGTTTATATAAGAACAATAATTTTCAAAAGTTTTGTCGCTGCGAGAGAGTACATAGTTTTTTTTTTTTCTATCGCAGTAATAAAGCACACACCTTCGTGACTAGAGAGATCGGTTTTTATCTGCTTAATTCATCAATATTAAAAGATACGGTCTTTGCGCGATGTAGAAATATTACTCTCGTGTTTGTGAAAAAGACGTTGTTACGTCAATTTTCTTTCCGTTAATAATGCGCAATTGCAAATAACGCAAAATAAAAATCTTTTAGAATCTCTGTTGAGAGAAAATCAATGCGACATGGGGGACGAAGCGTCTAAGGTAAAAGCACAACCTCATCCAATATATGTATTAATGTGTATATATATATGTGTGTATATATTATCGTAAATACAGCAAATATAAAAACATTTTTTGTGTGGTTTCGCGCGTAATAATACATAGAAACGTACAAAAACGTGTTGTTTTACGCCTTGTATAAAGGTCACATATCAAAATGGTATTACACGATACAATTGGTTTTTTTTAGTCGAACGGGGGGAGGTTTAGACATATACACGTTTGCTTTCCAAAGTGCGCGTGTTTGGCGACTAATCGTTTTTCTAATATGTACGTTGAATTTTGACAGATGCATAAAAACAAAAAAAAAAAAAGAAACAAAAAATATTTTTCTCTATAAAACCACTATTTTTGTTTAACGCACAATCTCGATATTACGTGAGGACTAATACTTGTTGTGAATCTGAGAGCAAATGTGTTTCTTCAAATGTGACTTTCTAGTTTTGCAAAGACAAACACTTTCCAGTAAAGTCGCATTTAAGACAACATTTTAACTACGAAATAACCTATCTTTATTGCCTTGTATTGTACCTTTAAAAAATATGTACGTGATGGACACTTGCTCGGTTTCAACAATCAAATCTACACAAATGTGCGATATTCGTTTGTTGCGCACAAAAACGTTTTAGCGCGCAACTCGACAAATTCGTACAAAATTTACTTTATTGATATGGTCAAAATTCAACATATGTTATATAAAAATTACCTGGGACCGTTTATGCGTGTGACGCACTCGCGCGCGCACACACGCGCATACACACACACGCACGCACGCACGCAACACATACACACGTCTCGCATTCGATTTCCGCACAAATCAAGTAAGGCATCACCCTACTCTTTAATTATTATTATTGTTACTTCATTACTATCTTAGTATATATTATCCGTGTATACTTCCTCCCTTTCTTTTGTTTGATATTCTCATTAATCTTGTACATGTCTTATCAAATAGCCCGTGAGATTTCGTATAAACGATAGACAGTAAATCTACTAATCCCGTAAAAACTACTGTTTCTCGATCGTTGGGCGCGCGTGTAAGTACATTGATTATTCCGACCGAATTAGCGGGGATGTAAGAAGCGAGAAATTATATGATTTTTTTCAGTAACATACTTTCACTTACACAAACTTATTTGTGAAATGGCTTTTTGTGATGCCGTTCACACATCCGAAACCGAAAAGAAGCGACATGCAAAATACAATCATGCGAAGTGACAAATTCACATAATTTCTCGCCTCTGATGTCACAATCCAATACGACCGCAACGAGGGAAGCTTAACGATGAAGTCGAATGTAGAGTTATTTAGGCGGGTGTTTCGTCGATTCCTATTTGGTTTCGTTGAACAACAGGAATAAAAACATGCTCATCAAAGGACAGGACTTCATTTTCAATCTTCTTCTCCTTCTTCGTGATTTTTATTAACCCTAATACTGTAAACTTCGCAACATTAATGTCTGATTTTTGAAAATGAGAAAATCCTTATTAACCCTTTTTCGTACGTAGACATCAGACCCAGTCTACAGGCAAAGGGCTAACTATTTTTAGTTAAGAATTCATAAAAGATAAAAAGTTATCAAAACTAATATTAGTCAGACACAAATGTCGAAAGTTTATGTACCTAAGAAAAGATACGTACTAAGAAAAAAAAAACATTACAGGATTAGGATTAATATCGTATAGCACGTTTTCTCGCGTTGAATGTGCGCGATGAAGAGAGCTTTGTGTTCGCTAATAACTCTCTCAATTAACACGATTATCGTATGTAAAAGTACACGTTTAAAATAAAAAAAATATCTTTATTTGTTTTGAAAAATTAAATATCGCAATAATTTATTTTTTAAATGTAATCTCTTTTTCGTGATGTTGAATTGGTTCTTTTTCCGAGTTTTTGGCGTTGTATTTCAAATTTTTAAAATACGGCACGACATGCAAGAAAACAAAACACACTGGTTTTCAAACTGACAACTATATCAACATAAAAATGTAATAACGTTACGTTTTTTTTTCGTTAAAATTAGTTTCAAGAAGTATAGCAAAAAATTATCGTAATTCATAATTGAACTTTTGTACATTGTGAGAGAGAGAGAGAGAGATACATACCTATGTATATTATAAATCTTTCTCTCGCGCGTATTACTTATATTGTATTTTATATTATAACCGTTTTGCTTTTTTCTGTCTCTCTTTATAAATCTGTCAAAGTATGAGAAAAACATTACGATAACAATAATAATGAACACCCTGTCTACGTAAACATGTTATATAAAAACATATTACTTGCTTATAATAGAGGATACATTATACATATTTTATACATATAGGTATAGTATACATACACGCGCGCACACACGCGCACGTGCACATGCATGCTAAATAAAATCTTATGTAGACGATAATATCGCGTATAAGAGACATGATTTCCCCTTCCCTAATTATATAAAATTGAATTTTGTCCCATTTGTGCCTCCGTCAACTAACCCAATATAGACTACTATATAGCAGTATAATATAAATCTAACACAGGAACTATATCGGACTACAAACAAGCGATTTAAAGCCGTTTTTTACTAAACAATCAGTCACACCTTGTATTTTATTTCTGTACACACGAATGTCGCGCATGCTCTCTAAGAACATTAAGCTTAATAAATAAGAATACGCGCTATTTCTTTCGAGAAATTATCTTGCTGTTGTCATTATCTTTCAAAAGCTCATTTAAAGCCAATGTGTTCATTTTTTTCCAATCACATCTCGTTTCACGTGTCGTATACAAACTTAAATATCGCTTTGTAAGGTCATTGCACATGTAAGGCTGATTTCCGAGTTTTTCGACTGTCTTGTGACTGTCATGTTTAACAAAAAAAAAAAAAAAAAATCATTAAATACAGTTGATATATCACACACACACACATACACACAAAATTCAGATCGCTACATTTAAACATGCGGTAGAGATGTGGGATACGCGCAATAAAAAATATGTAATTTGAACTGCAAAAAGTAATCTTACTGAACACAGAATTTACGAAATATTTGGTGCTCATTCGTAAATCTATCATCTTAGTTTACGTAGAAAATATCTTCTGTCCTTTTACAAGAAAAAAGTATATATTTATATACGTATATTTATATCCAAGATTTTGATTCTGTTACTTTTTGTAGTATTATTCGTAAAAATTAAAAGAGTGATCATGAACAAATAACATAAATGAATCATTCGAATTTAGTGCTATTTGTTACTAAAATTACAAGTCAGATGTAGCAATTCAATAATCTACAGACAACTGTTAATCTTTGTGGTTAACAGTTAAGCCACTATAAATGACGCGGCGGGTGTGTCATGTTTTTTGTTTTACCATTCTACTCTTTGACGTATGCGAAAATTTTTAATTAAAAAAAACGATAAAAGTCTCTAAAAAAACCGCCCGGACTCTGTAAAAGTTAATTTATCTTAACGCTATATGTTGCTTTACTGTATAAAGACATTGTTTGAGCAGTGGTTCCGAATGTATATTTATAAAATGGATTGTCTTTCGATATACAATACTTAATTGCGTATTAAACTTTCCAACATGCATTTTGGAACGAGATAGAGAGACGCGTAAGAATAAATTTTACATCGTAAATCATAATAAAGATTTTATAGACGTACATAGATTTTTGTTATATTCAGATCTGTGAAACATTTTGCGTTTCTCTTGTCCTGTTGTTTTTGTATATAAAACACGTTCTTCGTTAAAATAGAAAACGCAAGAGATACATCGTATGCGCTTGTCCATTTAATTACAGATTTCTTTTTTTTTTTTTTTTTTATCCTTATTGTGCAAATTATCACATTTTATATTCACGTGTAAAAAAAATACAATCGACAGATTGGCTCCAAGTCAAGTTTAACAAGAAGCCTGGTAGAGGTATACAAACTTGTCGATCTTTCAAAGGCATACGATACAAGTTTATACTCATCGACGTTATATCTTGCAAGTCTTATGCTAAATAATATAAAGCATGTATCAAACGCTACTAAGTTTTTTTACTTTAACATTAAAAAATAATAAATAAAAACTCTATAATTCACTCATAGTTTTTACAAATATACGAAAAGCCCTTGAAAACATTCGAACGGACTTCAGTTATTGTTACGGAAGCATATAAAAAACACTGTATAGTATATATAATTCTAATTTGGCATTTACTTCTTTCACTCAATCTTCAAGCTTGCGTTTGCATTCTTCTTCTCTTTTTTGTTCACCGAATATTCGATCAATTCAAAAACAAAAACTCAAAGGCCGATAATTCACAGTTGGAATTTGATAATTAAGATCATTTTTCAAGTTTACCATCAGATCTAATAAAAACAGCTCATAGGACAAACATCATCAGAGGACAAACTTAAAATATTTATGAATACCGGCCTAAGCATGTTTCAACTAAATTCATTTTGTGAAACGATGATTTCTCGTACAAATGTTATTAGAAAACTTGCTCCAACCGATCCAAATCTCTCATCCTCGATAAAAGAACTAGAACTCCTCAATATAGAGATATCTTGAAAATGAAACTTTAGCAACGCTTTTTTATCAGTACTCACGCGTAATCGTTATCATACGAATATCATCGTTTCACGTAATAATTCAATCAATTGAAATCACATTACACCGCGGCAGTATCTTCAGTGTTTCGCAGCAGCGCGGCCGCCTTGACGACGTCACCACCGCACTGATCCAACATCACTTTACAATCTTCAAGACCGACGAAACTGTTTTCCTTTTTCAGCAATCCCTGAAGTCGTTCTAATTTAATCGCCGCCAGAACGTCCCAGTCGGTGACGTTTAACGCAGCGACGCAAGACTCCGGCGACGACTGTTCGTGCAATACTTTGAGCATGATTCGCACTTCGTCGGACTGTTCCCCGTTGCTGGGCCCGCGTGTTCTTCGCGTGTTCGGCCCGTCGCAGGCGAACTCCAACAGATCCTCGCAAGAAACGTGATCCGACTGCCGCGATAAATCGCTGGTGCGATGTGTCTTTTCATTGGACGAAAGATAGGTTTTTGGAAGAACGGCCGAATGGAAGTCGTTGTCCGTACCGATGTGCACCAACGATTCCTCGCACTGAGCAATCTCGGGCTTGTAAGAGACCCCTTCTATATGCGCGTGATCCGTTTGCGACGTGTAGCTGAGAAGATTCGGTTGATGCGCGGCTGATCCTTGAGGCGCTTTGACAGTCAAAGAATCGGTCTTGTTCCGGTCTTCCGATCGAGCGGAACTAGTCGATGACGGATTTCGGATCGGATCAGATTCTACATTCTCCTGCGTTTTGAACGCGCAACTTTTCACAGAACCTTTCGAATTGTTAACTTGACCACGTGACAAATTATCGGTCGAACTGGCCGACTGCTTGTCACCGATCGCTGATTCTGAAACATTTTGCAACAAATCTGACGTCCCATCGTAATTACCTACGTCCGAAAATTCCAGCAAATCTTCCGAGATTACGCTGCATCGTCGAAATCGGTTCTCATCGATGGGCAAAGAATCCAGTGCGGCTAGCTCGGAATCGATGCGTTGTTCAAATTCCTCTGGGCTGCAAATTTTAAGTATACTTATGTATTACTTACGTTACGCTTATATTAAACAATGAATATAGACGGCTAAAAATCAATATGCGACATTGCTTACCCGCGATAAACGTTTTTCTTAATATAAAATTATTACATGTGTTACGTTAAAGTGCACGTGATATTCGGCGCTCCAGACATAAAGACGCAAGCATTCAAAAAACATTTTCTCACCTGTTGGTAGAAACTTCTGGAGAATAATTATCCTGCGACGTTGACCCGGGAATCGGTGAACCGACACTCTGCACGGTGAAATGCCCGTCCACCTCATCGCCTCCCCCGGGTGATGACGCGGTTACCGCCATCTTGGCCAACGTTCTACTGACTCCGCCTCCGGGAATGATGAGGGGATGTTTTCTCTGATGTCGCGGTAAGCTGGATTTGGGTTGAAGCGTCTTGGACCGATCTCTGGGCGGTAGCGGTATCGGATTTTCATCTATGTTGTTCTGATTCTGATTGTTCTCAATTTCCATGGAGGAGGAGTGATGCTTCTCGAGGGCGCGCGATTGCGGTAGAGACGAGGAGGTCGCGTATGGCGGGGGTGGCGCCCGAATCTTGGGCAAGGTCCTCGCGCCGCTGTGGTGCATCTCGAATTGCGGATTGTGGTCGCACGCGCCGGACGCCGCGTCCTCCGACTGCAACGACGGTGTCGGATGACCCAGAGTGGCGTGCTTGTTGCCGCGAATTCTTGGCCTCACCACGGGTAGACCGGAGCGCAACATACGCAACGGATTCGTGTCTCCGGTGCTCTCCATCGTCGGTGTTTCCACCAAGCTGTTATACACTTCCTTAGCTTCGTCCGACAGGGTGGCCTGAACAAGTCGTGGGAGGGGATCGATACGAGGGAAGAGAAAACGAAATTAAAAAGAAATAAGAAATGACGGAAAACTATAGAATATAGAATGTTTAAACAAACTCGCTTGTACGCCCGTTCTATTCCCCACACACACTCTTTCTCTCTCTCTCTCTCTCATACATTCTTTTTCTCGCATTCTCTAATTAAAACGAAAAAAAAAAAAAAAAACAAGATACTGCAACTCTATATAATAGCTAAGGGTGCAAAGTGTTACATTACGTATAAATCTCATTTGTGTAAAATTTGGTAGCAATTAACCGACCCGGTAATGTCGCAGAATTTCGCGACGAATCAGTTTCCCAAATACGTGTAAAAATGACTAAAAATGTGTAAAATACGTCCAAAGTGTTTTATATGTTAGTTACAACATGCAAGCATGCTACGAGTATGAATTGTTGCTTCGCGTAAATATTTTTTTGTTATTTTTAGTTAACTATATCAACCTACATATTTTACGTGTATTATTAATATACCGCTTAAAGAGTTTTGAGCAGCTCCCGAAACATATTTCTCGACACATCGGATTGTCATCCGTAACGAAGTTGTTCAATTTAATTTGGAACAACTCAAACTTGGCGCAAACACGCGATAAGTAGATTGGTTTTGTTGTAATTGCTGAATTGTGTGTATAAACAATTGGATTTATCGTCAATTGATTTCACATGCATTTGTGTTCTATGTAATAATTCTTCTTCAAATTACTCTCAAAAGAAAGAACGTTTAGGCTGTCGACAGAGAGAAATACAGGAATTTTTCAAATTACTCAAGACTGAGGAATCCAAATTAATCGGAAACGTTTGTCTCGCGATATCTAAGGAGCGGGGGAGGGAGGAAATGTCGTTAACGCGTCGTTCGTGAATTCCGGATATTCGGAGCTCGTGTCCGAATCGAGATCGGAATTGCTGGTGAACGTCAGGCTTGAGCTCGGCGCGCTCTCCGGCCAGGAAAGTAAATTGTTTTTTGATGAGAACGGCGGCGACAAGGAATTCAAAAAGCTCGTCGACGGCGGCGGCGATTTCCCGCACAGTTCGATATTGGAAAATCCCTTGGCGGAATCCGGATGCAGAAATGACGTCTTGTTTTTGAAATTTAAACGGAGATTGTGCGGGATTCTCTTGTGTCTGCGTTTGTAACGCAAACGGCTTCTAATGTCCGTTTCCGAGTGCGAAACCGAATCCGAATCTTCGCTTGAGTCGTTCTTAGGATGAAAAGATCTACGTACATTTTTTATCGGAGGTTTCTTGTTCTCCGATAAAGACGACGTTCTGTGCCGATAGATATTGATTGCGCCAGGAAGCTTCTCTGTGAGCAAGTCTAGCTTCGGTAATTCTTTTCTAACCGGATCGTTTTGATAAAACTTGGGCGGTTCCAGAATATGCTGGTGCGTGATCGGACTCGACGGTGGATTCGGTTTTTGCGTCAAATTCATTTTGTTGATCGACGATTGATTCTGCAACGGTATGTTCAGATCCAGATGTTTCGGCTTTTGAACCGGTATATTTAGATTTCGCAGCGACGCTTGGGACGGCATGGACAAATCGAGATTTCTCATATTAGAGACCAGCGATTTCGTCGAGTTCGTCTCCAAATTTCTCGAGTTTTCTCGCAGCTGCGTGATGTTCTTTCCCAGTTGTATCATATTATGCGTTAGTTTGCCCAACCCTAAATTCAAGCCCTGGATCTTTTTGGAATCCAAATAGCTCTTAACACTCTCCAAACCGGAAACCTCACGTTGATACTTCTCCGCTAAAAGTTTGCTGTTTAATTCTACCTGACTGGCCTCGGCGTCCGACTTTCTTCTGATACGTTGGAAATTTACTCGCAAACTCTCGGAGCTGCTGTATATAGGAGACTCCTTCTTCTCCGATTCGGCAATGAACAGGGGATTGTTGGATATCACAAACGGAAAGCCTTCGTGGCCGTTCTGATTTTGTTCGATCTTACGGAAGCTTTGTATGTTCAGTCTTACCGTTTCCATGTTACTTCTCGGACTGTCCGATCCGCCCGTTTTCATATTTGTCTTAATGCTATCGGACGAGCCGTAAATGGTGCTCGTCGCGTCTGGCTTAGGATTTCTAGGCACAAAAGGTATTTTCGCGGGTCTGGACTTCGATAAGTCGATCTTCTTCGTGAACTCTGTGATATTCATTTTCGCGGATTCGGCAAAGACAGCGGGAATTTTGGATCGCGTGCCGAGATCCAAGTTCATCGTCTTATCTCTCGCTATGTCGAATTTGTTTGGTTGTTTCGCACGGGGCGATGATTCCGCGTTAGCCGATTTCTCCTTCAACATGTCCAAGTTTTCGTCAGTCCGCGCGATGTTGTCTTTCAGCGACGGCTCGCAGTTGCTCAGTTTACTTTGCATCAACTGATTCGGCCTGCCGCCGATCGCCGAGCTCTGTTCCGGAACGTTTGAATAACACGTCGAGAGCCTGTTAGGCTGTTCCAGATTATTAATCGTATCGTAAGCGTCCAATTTCTCTTCTCCGAAATATATTTTCTCGTTCGCGCATCCCAAGACAGCTTCATCGTCGCAGTACTTGGGCTGCTCGAAGTAACGATCGATGTAGCTCGTCGACACCCTCTTTACCTCGTGCGTATAATCACAGTTCGAGTTCTCCACATTGAAGATCTTACCGTTTTGATAACGTATGTTCAATTTTGCGCTCGCGCTCTCGCAATTCAGATTGCTCTTTCTATTTCCGTTTTCTAAAAATTCCGTGGATTTCACCAGATTCTGCTTCATCGCCGCGTTATCTAATATGTGCGTGTTTAAATCAATGTCCATGTACGAGGCCCAGGCGTTCGGTTTCGTCAATAGCTCCCGCGATTTTGCAAAGCAAAACTCTGCGGACGCTTTGTCCCACAGAGGAAGTTTCAGCGTCGACGGCGCGCCAAGGGATTCTATGCTAGATACCGTTGATGAAAGTGACTGCAAGCTCGAACACAACCACTTCACGCGACACAACAATATTCGACACGACATGCAAGAAAATGAGCGAGAAACGATGAAATTATTTCGATAAATCAACCACATGAATCATGCACAAAGTGATGAAGCAGATGTAGTATATAAAGCACATGATATATATGACATATACACGACAATTTACAATTAAACAAAAAAAAAAAAAGTTTAGAGTTTGCATTTTGTCACGAAAAATGAAAATCAAACAAAAAGTTTTAAAATTCAATTTTATAAAATTAAACAATAAATCATAGGTACACAGGTGTAGACAAGAGTATGTAAGAATTACATAAAATTATATGAAACAAAAAACATAAGAAAATAAATAAAAAAGTAATAATAGAGAGGAAAAGGGTTAGAGAAAAATTGATATTAGTTATGTTTTAAAAATAAATAAGCGCTAGAGATTATTAAAAGAACTTAGAGTATAATTAATAATAATCGAAATCTCTCAAGAAATGAACGATTAATTACGATCAATAATATATGCATAGTTACCTACTCTTTATCTTACGTGGCATCAGGAATTAACCGTGTTCCATAACAGCTTCAAAATTTGTTTTTCAGATATCGTCAGAATATAAATATATAAATATATAAATATATAAATATAAATATATATATATATATATATATGTTTATTTAATTCTACGATATCCTCTCTATTCATGTATATTTCAATTATATACAAGTGTATTAAAGACATTTGTATAAAACACGATAAAAACAAAATTAATAAATGTATTAGTGATTAGTAGTGTTAGTGAGAATGTTAGAACGTGTGTAGGAATCACATTCTCTGTAATATAAATTTTTTTCCTTGTCGTGAATGTGTTTTATGAATTTCACGTGCGAGTGTTTCAGCATAATACCCCTGTGTGGCAAAACAAAATCCGTTTAATGTACCTGTATGTCAGGTATACTGGCGGCTTCTTCGGAAAAGTGTCGTCTGTCTGGTTTAGGACTGTGTTGATGTGGCAACTTAAAAGAGAATTTCCTGCGTCTTGAAGGACTCGCAGGTGTTCGGGGAGACTCCGGTGGATGTTCAAGATCTGTCATGGAACGTGCTGTCAATTCCTGTGCCATAGCAATGGCTGAGTAGAGAGTTTTCTGATCAGCAGCTGAGATAGGCTTCACCTAGATACAAGAGAAACGTTTACCGTTTCCATCATATCGACAGGAATTAACATCCTATCCTCACGCGAGATTTCCTGTATTCTTGTAAATAAATACACATTGCATAGATATATCTTATTGAAGTACATGTTCGGAAACTGCGTAACGTGTACAATAACTTTATGAGTTGTCGTCGATTTGAAAACACACCAATTGTATTTGTTTTTTTTTTTTTTTGGTTTTTATCTTTTTTAGCTTCTTTTTTGACAAACATATGTAATATAAGTAAATAAAAATAACGTCTAAGCCGCAAATGATAAATACAAGAAAAATAACATTAAATAACACATAAACTGATAGCTAAAAATAAGAAAAAAATTACTGTACATTTATTGGACTCACGGTGGCTTGTTTCTTTTTGCTACACTGTTTTGCTTGAATTTCCCTCAGTTCGTTCCTCGCATTGCTCGATTCGTGTTCGGTGGGTAATGGGTGACTAGGTGGCGGAGGAGGAGAGGAACCTACGAAAATAAAATGTGATGCAACGTTTGTTCAACGTGTTATTGCAAATTATTCTCTTTGCATTCTATAACAATAACAATTCTTCTCAATCCAAACTGCTGGTTTTTGTTTATTACCTAGTGATCTAAACATCTGATCCATTTCAGCTAAAAGACTCGGGCCAAAATCAAAATTCTTATCAAATCTCAATGGACTGTCTTGGTTTTCTTCGTCACTGATTTCATGATATTCGTGGTCAGCTCCGAGAGTATCGGTGCTATTGTCCATATTGGATGTCATAGATTGCTTGTTGGCATTGCCTCCTGTAGTCACATGGCACACATCCGAATTTCCATCAGTCCATAAGCTCTCTAAATAAATGTGAAATAATTTATTTAATTTTACGTTATTTGACTCGATTATACATTTTTGTGTGTGTAATAGGAATTAGAAGATGTTTGTTTATAAAGAACAATAATTACGCGTACCGTGTTTGCCCTGAATCTCTTGTTGCACATTTCTACTGTTTCTCATCGATTCCCTGTTCACATTGACATTTCTCTCATCTTGAGTTGGAATTTGACTAGGATTATCCGTCGCATCCTCCTGCGGCTTGTACGGCGTCACAACCTGATGAGGCAGGTGTGGATACTTTCCAGCAAGAAAACTAATATCACCGAAGTACGCTCCATCTAGACCCACGTGACCGGTGTGCTTGAGATCGCCTTGCGGCGAAGATATCATGTCCGTGCGAATCTTTCTACGCTGCGACGAGAAAGAATTTTTACCATCTCCCCGCGTGAATTCGCCGGGTTTGTTGCTAGGCAGATTGGAGCCAAGATACGCAATCGTGTGAGCCGGATTAAAGAATCCTGTTTTACCGTTATTTAGAACACCCTTCCACAAGCTGTTGCTAACGCCTTTATCCAGCACCGTGATTATGTCGCTTTGCCTGTAAGCAAGCTGACCTGGTTCGCTGTTGTCCTGAACAGCTTGCACCTGTTCCGGCTTCAGATCGGGCAGCAGATTGATCAGTTCAGAAAACTTGGGTCTTTTCGAAGGTTCGTGCTGCCAACATTGTTGCATGAGAGAGAAGTAATCCTTCGGACAGCACTCGGGTTGTTCCAGTCTCTGAAAATTGGGTTCGTCTATTGCTTCGAGAATTTGATGGCCGGTCAATGCTGCCCACGGCTGAAAGCCGTAACTGAACATCTCCCACAGCGTAACTCCGTACGCCCAAACGTCGCTCGCTGATGTAAATTTCAGATAAGATATGCACTCGGGCGCGCACCATGCGATGGGCAATTTCAGATTGACGTTGAAATTTGTTTGATAATAATCCTTGCCCACGCCTAGAGCTCGTGACAAGCCGAAGTCCGATATCTTGACTTTATTCTTGGAAAACACGAGAATATTTCTAGCAGCGAGATCTCGATGTATAAGCCTTTTCGCTTCCAGATATTGCATTCCGTCGGCAATCTGCACTGCAAAATCGCACAAAGACAGAACCGGAAAACTAGCGCGCAGACTGGGCTCTTTGAGGCATTCAAGCAACGATCGCAGCGGTGCTAACTCCGTTACGAGCATCAATGAATTCGTGTCAAGCACGACGCCGTACAGCCGCACAATGTGCTCGTGATCGATCGCGTGCATTATCGCGGCCTCTTTCAAAAATTCAATGGGGTTGTTCTGCATTCTCTCGCGCGACAAACACTTGATTGCCACCTGTATCCTTTCCCCGTCGTTCGTCCACACTCCTTGTTGCACTACTCCAAACTCGCCGGTTCCCAATTCCTTATTGACAATAATTGCGTCGGCAGGGATCATGTGCTTATTGGGAACGCGAACCGGCGGTCGGTCCTGTCTCTCTTCCGGCAACATGTCCAACACGCCGGGCGTCTGTTCCTCGCGTTTCGGCAGCAACATTCTCTTGAATTTGGAGAGATAATTCTGCGGAAAGTGTTTCTGAAAGTATTTCTTCAACCGGCGCATCTCCGGCTTGCTCATTCCTATCGCATTCAGATCTTCTTCGGTCACATATTTCAATTGCGCCGTCGTCTGCACCTTCAAGTCACCTAATAAATAATAAATTACTCCTTTATGCATGTAATAAAAATGTTTTATCTTTTTTTTTCATACGTATAAATTTATTGTTTTACTTTGTAGTATACAAATAAAGTTTAATTTGTATCAATCAAGTTTTTTTAGCTCTGTATACTCTGTGCAGTCTGTGGTAAATAAAATTACACGTGAATGTTTTTATTTCCAAGATTTTCAATGCGTATTTAAACGCGTTTCAAACAACTAGAGAAACAAAATTGAATAAACAATACCTCGAATACCGGCATAATATTGTTGCAATTCAGCTTCCATAAGGAATTCGTAAAGGCCGGGCCCATTGTTACGGGCCATTCCTCCTTGTATATTTTTATCTACAATTTAAAAGAAAAAAAAAATTGAGTAACTTTTATCATCACGAGAAATTCTTAATTTCAGACTGTTAGCATCTACTACACACACACACACACACACACACACGTACACATTATTTTGATACAGCAGAAAATTTAATTCTCAAACAAATTCTCATTTGCTTTGTCGATTTCAAATCGTTGAGTGAAAATCAAACTTGTTTTCCGACGGAAAAAATTCGGCGAATCAGAAGGAACTCCGGATTCCGCCGTGACGTGCGTAAAGAGGATTTGCGTCGTTATGCAACTGAGATCGCGACTGAGACAATTGTTCCAATTTCCCTAACAATAGTCACGATATGTGCGGAATACGAATATATATCTCTGTTTCACGCAAAAACACGGTCGTAAGTGAGAGAGCGATCCCTATCGCTCTTCGCGATAGGATTGTTCCGAGGAATCGTGCAGAGATTGCACATATACGTATTGCCCGACCGATCAAGCTCTGCACGCAACTTGCACGTGTTGTGCGAGAACGACTACTACTTCTCTTTGGCACTCGCCATCGCGTTTTGCATCACGCCAATTTGCCGTTATTATGCCGGTACAGTACGAGTCGCCAAGTTGAACAAACCGAGCGCGAACTGACGGATGAACTAACGATCTTTGGTCGATCTCAGTTGACCTCAAATGTCTTTTTTTATATAATGCATAAAATTTCGTAAATTAAAATTATACATTCAAATTTTTTAATTACTATCGCGTTTGGCGGCATCAGACGAAAGGGAAGATTTAACAAATAGTCGTTCTGCGATCGCAAACAAAAAAAAAAAAAAAAAATCGAAAAGAAATATCGTAAAGTACGACAACGAGACGACAATTATCCATTCCTTAGAATGCGTCGAAGCAATACAGACGCAAGTCACTCCAACTTTTACGCGAGACCTGAATTCCATTCTTTTTGTCCGGATGCTTTTATCTCCGGGAAAGTGCAGGGAAAGCGTTCAGATGTCGACGTGTAGGCGAGTGCGAATTCAAGCGATGCGTAATTTGCCGTATTTCCGCGGAAGAAGACACGCCCCGTGCCGCACACACGGAAGATGCGACCCCAAATAGCGCGTTATTTATAATGTACGCCACACGTGGTCAACAACACTGTCCAAATGTCGAGATTGAGGGGAAAACCTATGGTGAAAAATTGTGTCTCCGATCTGAATTGGTCCGCTGAGAAACAAAAAACGGAAGACTGGCTTGACACTTCTATTCTTCGCCATTCTAACATCTTGTTGCATCAGAGAGAGAGATACATGCAAGAAGATGATACCTGAGATAAAGATTTTCTGTCACTGAAACATATCTTTAATTTTCGTTCGTTTGACAGTTGCTTGACAGTTCGTTCCATTCTGTACAATGTATTGAAGCATACATATTTATCAGAAATTACTCAATTTTTTCTATTAAATTTGCACAATATCGTAGTTCATTATTGCATAGTTGAAATATTATATTCTTATTTAGAATATAATAGGTATAGGTAGTCTACAAAATCACAGCGAAACCTTTTACATACATACATCATGTCTAGTTAGAAATCCAAGTGCTTCTAGATCTAAAGTGAGCGTTAAGTAATGCGACCGACCTTTGTACATTTGATAGTCTTCCGCATAAACGTTGTATAATTGTCACCAAGAAACAACAAAAAATCAAGTCTGAAGTTGGCCTCTGCTTCTGAAATATTTTCACAACTCCGTGTGCTATAGACTTGCGCTACCGCTTGTCATCATTTGTTTATAATACGATCAAATTGTGACGTTTGACACTTAATCAGCAAATAAATTGTTAATTAAGAAAAACAGCACACACGTGCGAAGTTGGCCTATGGCCACAACGCGTCTACGTTCTAAGTCACTGAAATTGATTGATCAACTTTCTTTTGTGCGAAGGGTTTCACTCACATATGTGTGTGTGCCGTATATCAATGATTAAGAATGGAATTTGTCGGACGAAACACGCTATCATCACGGCGCCCACTACCACGCTTCGATCGATATAACAGATGTCCTAACCTTAAAACTAATTCGCTTCTCACGTAATGTCTTAATTAATGCTCTTTTCGGCAACATTGACCTTTCAACCTTCGTTTCACACATGGCTTGTTAGGCGCAGAATAAATACATTTCTATCGAAATTGAAAGTGATACGTATCTATCATTCTGCCATTTACCGAGTTTATGTGTGTGTGTGTGTGTGTGTGTGTGTGTATGCGCTTTTTTAAATGCCTTAATATGTATACAAAACACATCTGATTGAGCGTTTCAACGCGTATTGCATGTACGCACGTACTTACAGTAAATTTTTTCACTTCTAGATAAGTTTTCGATAACTTTATCTAGAAGATAAAAATATCTCCCAAAATTGGTTTTCCTTATTGGTTCTCAGAGGAATTTATCCAGAGGATAGCTATCGAAAGGTATGAAGAGAAATCGGCCGTTACATGTGGAATTTTACATTCGGCATTTTTATGCAGACGTGTGAAGCACACTCGCACACTCACACACACACATACACAAATATTTCCTATACATATTGAAAATAAATTATGTACGCGTGAAGTGTATATTTACATCCTAAGGAAGATGCAAATATGCGATAAAAACGACATAGAAAGATATGAAAACGCACTTAGAACAATAGGAGCGTCCATCAGCTACGTTTTCTCGTCTCTTCGTACGAAGAGAACAACAACGAGAAATTCACGCTTTGGATGTGAAGGAAGAAAAGAAGAAAAACAAATCGCAAAAAAAGCTTACAGAACGAATCGGTCTCAAACTGTCCACTTCCACGTGAATCTTTTTATCTTACCCGTTAGAAATTCCGAAATCACGGCGATGCTCCTTGGCCTTCCCTCGCCCGTCGCTCTATGCAGAATCGGGGTTGTGTCACTCTCTTTTTTTTCTCTCTCTCTCTCTCTCGCGTTCGCTCTAAGCTAGTCCAGCTCGCTCACTTTTAGAGATTCGGAGAGTTTCGCGTTTATTTCAGGAAGTTTCACATTTTCTTTTTTTTTTTTTTGTTTTTGTTTTACATGCGCGCACACACACACACACACACACACGCGTGCACGCACACACGCGCGCGCGCGCGGAAACGATTGCCGCAACACGCGGACGGACGATAAAAAACAGCCGCAACAATCACTTACGTCGAGCACTCATAACCGCACGAATCTCTGATCTCCATGTCCGCGCTCGTCGTTCGTTCTGATCATCACGGAAGAGACGGCAGTCCGATGGTTTGGTTTGGTGCATATATGGCTCAAAGGACCGTTTCAAGATAGTCCATACGCCATTCTAAGTCTATAGGAATCGTAACACAAGTCCTAAACCGTGGTTTGGGTACAAGCCACGGAGTTGTATGTTCGTTAAAACACTGATAAACTGAAGAAGTCGGT